AAAGACTTTCTAGGCCAGAAGCAGCAGTTTCTGGAAGTGGACAGATAGAGGCTTATCACTGATCACTATTTAAACACAAGGAAACAGAAGGGGCCCCCAGGCAGACATTAAGGTGGGCCTGGGTGGTCCCGGGAGCTCTAGGGAGTGTCATCAGCATTGAAGGAAATTGAAATGCAAGAATCAATGGGCAAATCAACCATCTATTACGGAATCACGTGAAGAGGGCATCTGAAAACCTCAAGTAGTAGATGGTAGATACACCCAAATTCGGTCATGGAGATGGGAGAGTATTCCCGAGAGAGAAGATGGGAGGTAGAGAGTTTCACTCCTTCTGAGGGGCAATGCCGAGTGGATTCACAGAGCGGATGTGCGGTGAGGATTCCTTGCAGCTCTCTGGGCTCCTTGGAAGACTGGGTTCCCCTCCGTGCAAACCCTTAAGCTTACAAAGGGGGAGCCTATTGCCCTCATCCATTCCCAGGGTGTCTGGCCCTGAGCAACCTCCCTGCCTCCAAGGACAGCATTTCTGGCTTCCGTTCTCACATGGAGGACATAAGATAAATGGAAATTTCAATTCTACAGCAGCAAGAGCACCTTCTATCCACATTGTTCTTTGCAGTTTACAGAGCATTTTCACGCACCCAGATTCGCGCTTTCCCTGGAGCTCTGTAATGTACTCAGCCTGGAGAAGGCTTCCCAGGGGAGGAGGCTGCTTGATCTGCCTCAAACTAGGCAGGATCACAGTCTGTGAGGGGAGTGCTGGCCCTGTCGGATACTTCTTTTCTAAATCTGTCAATTACCGGCATTCAATGAAGATCATTTTTGTTTTAAACATAATTGTGCCAATAACACTCTCCACCCCCAAACCCTCTCATTGCTGGATTTCAGATTTTCCTCCAGCCTCAGAAGTAAAAAAAAAAAAAATCGGTCCTGCCTTGGGCACATGCAACATCATGTACTTTAAATGGCTTTGGCTGGCTTGATTCTAATCCTAATTAAACCAGTGCCATTTTGTCCCATCTTGGTCTCTTTGAACGCCCTCAGCTCACTTAGTTCAGCACCGCTTTGGTCTGAAAGAATGCCAACCAGCCTGGGAAATGACAGAGAACTTCGGGAAATGACAGAGAACTTCGGGAAATGACTTTAGGCTTCACAAGAAGATTCTTTACTCCCCCCCCCCCCCCCAATGATTAGCTTCATGATTAGCTTTCCTGGGGTGTAACAAAAATAACCAAAACCAAAAATTAAATTTGCTCATAATTCCCATGGTTAAAAAAAAATCATAAAAGTAAGAGGAACGTTTCTCCCTCTGTCTGATTCCATTCTTCAAAATAAACCACTATTAACAACTTGTTGCACATTCCACCCAGTCGGCTGGTGGGTTTGTGTAGACAGACCTGAGTGCGAGTACATTAAAATGCCAGGCACATTGACATGTACCTTGCTTATTTCCCTTTTTAAACACAGAGATTTTCTTAGTCATTACCTACAGATCTAATCCATTACTTTTAGTGGCTGCCTATTATTCTGCTACATGGTTATATTATAATAGATTCAACCATTCTCCTATTGATGGGCATTTAGAGTGTTTTCAGTATTTTTGTTATAAGGAAAAATCCTGCCACACGCATTCTTGTATACATATTTTTGTTTTATTATATCTTGTAAGACGGAAGAGTGGGGTTGCTTTTACTCCTGGAGCTGGAACACCAGTCCTGGGGGAGAGGCCCCCACCCCCTCTTCAGCCTTGCCAACACTTGGGCCAATCTGCTAGACCAAAAAAATGTTAATCTCTTTGAGACTTAATTTGCATTTCCCTGAGTACTAGCGAAGCTGAGCATCTTTTCATATGTTTATGAACAATTTGCATTTCCTATGCAGTGAATTACCTACTCTTATCCTGGACTCCACTACTATCAGGCTGGTTTTTCTATTCAATGTGTAGGATCTCTTTTAATACATGGGATATGCTTTTTGTCTCTTCTATATGAGGCAAGTATTTTCTGTCACACTGTTGTCCTTTGACTTTGCTTAGGGTGTATTTTCACTGTAAATTTTAATTTTTATTGTCAAATAAATTCCATTTTTCCTTCCTTGTTTCTGGGCTGTGTCTCTCAGAAAATACTCCACTATTTTCTTCTTATACTTTTATATTCTTACTTCTTGCTATTTAAATCTTCAATCCAAGCTTTTGGTTTCTTTGTTGTTGTCATTGTTGTTTGTTTCCTTTTTATTTTGCAATTGAGTAAGTCAGGGAGCTAGATTTTACTTTATTCCAAATGAAGAGTCAAGGATTTAAAAGGATTTAATCAGCAGAAATTGATGCATTTTGTTGTTGTTGTTGTTGAGGGGAGGGGCCCAGTGATGTTCCTGGGAGCAACTGTGGCCTGTAGACTCAGCAGACCCTTCACTTAGGATCAGGAGATGGCAGCGGGAATGCCTACACGTGGATCTCCTAGTCAGTCATGGGTTGGACCCTTCTGAAGGGGTGTGTGGTTTGTTTTGGCTTTATTTTTTATTTTTTTAAAGATTTTATTTATTTATTTGACAGAGAGAGACACAGCGAGAGAGGGAACACAAGCAGGGGCAGAGGGAGAGGGAGAAGCAGGCTTCCCGCAGAGCAGGGAGCCCGATGTGGGGCTCGATCCCAGGACCCCGGGATCCTGACCTGAGCCGAAGGCAGACGCTTAACGACTGAGCCACCCAGGCGCCCCTTGTTTTGTTTTTAATAAAGGGATTTGTAGACCAAAACATTCTCCCTCAAAACTCTCCTTATTTATAAACCCAATCCTGTGTCTAACTCTGTGTTACCCGTTGGTCTGCTTTAGGAGTGTGTCCCTCTGAATCCAGGGCGAGCTTTCACTCATCTCTGTTCTGAGTTGGGATAGGGTAGACGCGAGCCGAACCAAGCCTCTCTTCAAGGCCATCTGAAGATTTATTTAATGTGCATTCACGTAGCCTGAGAATGTTTACACGTTTTAAAAAAGAAACGTGCACGTTTCTCTACAAGCCGACTAGGAAGCAGCCGTGGCCAGGTTTCTCGGCGGAAGTCTTTTATCTTACCATTTGCAAATGAAGGCACCAATAAATACTTGTTGAATTTTATCATTCTGTTAACCTTCAAATTCAGACTTGTCAGTAATTACTGGTTTGCATTAAAAGGAGGAGATTAGAGGTTGAGGTCCTGGAAGGAGACCTGATTTGCTAGGAGGCACACAGAGTAACCTTTAGGGTCTCTTGTCTTTCTGTCCCCGACTGTTTTTTTTTTTTTTTTTTTTATCAAGGGACGAAAGACTAATGGCATGGTGGAGGGCACACGTCTGGTGAGAGAGGACAAGGGGAGGACTTTTAAATATCATAACGGGCCCTCTCGGCCTATTTTAACAGTGCTCCTTTCATTTTGGTAAAAAGGTAGGGCAGGCTATTCTGAGGGTCTTTTCTGGGTCCTGCTGCTGCTGGGGGCCTGAAGAAGGTTCTGGAGTGACACTCATTTCTCTCTCCCACTGTTGCCAATAAACAGAAACTATCTTGGAAGAGGTGGCCGCCTTAGGACTCATTCTGGATCTCGGCCTTGAACAATATCATCAAGTACTTGCTGTATACAGGTACCTTGCTTTGCCTTTGAGGATCCCTCCTCAGCAAAACAGACAAGGCCTCTCCTTCCGGAGCTCACAGGTCTAGTGAGGGAGGCAGAGGCTGTTTCCCCCCGCAGCCTCATGGGGGAAGCAGGCATTGAGCAAACATTCCCAGGCATATATAATTACAAATGGCAGTAAGTGCTCTGAAGGAAAATCCAGGATGCTTGCAAAGAATACAGCAGGAGGGCTGAGTTTAGATTAGGGGGTTAGGGAAAGCAGAAGTGGGGGTGTTAAAGGCTTTTGCAAAGGTGAAGCATTTTACATATGTGAAAGAAATAATAATAATAAAGGTGCTTGGAAGGGCAGCTCATCCTCATTCATGGGCCACTTCCTAGAACTCTGGGAATCTGCCTCTCTCCCCAGAATTATGTAGGCATCCAGGGTAAGGGTTGGAAGAGCCCTTCACAAATGCTAATATGGGAGCATTTTAAAGGCTGCCCCCTGACCCTCTGCATCCTCATCCGTAACTAGTTTGAATGCTGAGGTGAATGGCAAGGATGAGCCATATTTCCAGTTTGGGAAAAGGGAGGTGGAGAAGCTTTCCCACCCCAATTGGGGTGTGTGTGGGGGGCGGGTTTCCCTACGGCAAACCACCCCGGGGGGAATGTTTTCCAAGGGAAAACCCACCTCATGGTCTATTTGGTTGTGAAGGGGGCTGCCCAGGGGATCTGGGGTTTTCCTGGTGAGTTTCGGGTAGGGGCAATGATCTCTGATACCCCCACCCTTACACCTGTAAAATAGCTTGACCAGAATAAAGGGAAGATTTCACCAGGCGGTGGGGTAAGAAGAGAGGGCCATATTGCCAGATTGGGGGGGGGGTCTTCATTTCTCCAGAAGACTCCCCATCTGGTGGTAGCACCTAGAGGCTGACACTCTGGGTGTAAGGCACGGTTCTAAGTGCTTTTACAACGCTTTTTTCTCAAAATAGCCTTATGACTTAAGCACCACTACTAACCCCAACTTCACAAATGAGGGAACGGAGGCACCAAGAGGCTAAGCAGCAATAGCAGGTTTTCTTTTTTTTTTGCCTCCAACAATTTGGAGTCAAGGGTTTTGAGCCGAGGTTTGGTCTCCAGGAGGTGTGCCCCATAACTTCGATGTGAACCTGCTCAGCCTTCCCCTAATTCGGGAAAATACTAGCTTTTTGCGAAGGCTAATCAGGGAGCCCGTGGGGACGGGTCTCACACTCCTGCCCCTCGGAAGCCGCGCAGTGGGGAGGCCTGGGTGACAGGGCCACGGGGGCGGCGGGGTGCCCCCCCTCCAGCCCCGAAGACCCGGCCCAGCAGCTCCGCTTTCTGCTCGGTCTCCGCGAGGTGTCGCCTTCGGCCGAAGAAACCGCCGCGGCGCCACCCTCGTAGCCTGAAGTTATTTATTTATTTTTAAACAAGGGGGGCGCCCCTCTCCTTTCAATTTAAAACTAGAAACATCCTGCGGTCTCGTTCCTAAATGGGCGCTCCTCCTCCTCCTCCCGTTTTGCACCCTCGGTCTAGCCTCCCTTCGGGATCACACACAAGCAACCCCACCGCCAGGCCTCGCTCCACGTTGGCGTCGCGCTCAGCCGAACACAAACGCAGTCAGGGCGGGGGCTGGGTGAGGAGCCTCCGCTTCCAACCCACCCCCCCAACCCCCCGCCCCACTCCCCCAGTACACACCCCCGGAGACCTCCGGAAAAAATATTTTAATGCCAAGCAATTGCCAGGCCCGCAGGGTGGGTGCTGCATTGCACCGCTCGGCGCACAGCTGGTTCGCAGAGTGCAGCGGGTGCAAGCCCGGGGGTCTAAAAGCGAGGGAGGAGCACACCCCGGGCTTTCCCAGCTTTGCAGCCTCCTCTCTGCAAAGAAGAAAAGCAAGTGGCTTTTGGCGCGAAAGCCTTGGCGCCTCCCCTGATTTTTATGGAAATCAAGAGGGCGGGGTAAAGCCGCTTTCCACTGCCTTTCTCCCTCCCCCTTGTCTGTGCCGCAGCCCCCTTCTCTCCCCGCCCCCCGGGTGTGTCAGATTTTTCAGTTAATAATATCCCCCGAGCTTCAAAGCGCAGCCAGTGACAGTCATCTGTCTGGACGCGCTGGGTGGATGCGGGGGGCTCCTGGGAACTGGGTTGGAGCCGAGCTAGCGCTAGCTAGGCGCAAGCGCGTACAGACTGCAGCCACCCGAGGACCACCACCCCCGGGCCACCCGGAGACCCCCGCGCAGAATCGCCCCTGGATCCCCGGCAGTCGGCGGGAGGTAAGGAGCGGGGGTTGCAAACTGCCCGGCGCCCCCCTGGCGGCAAGCGCGACGGGAAGGCAAGCCCTGGACGGGATCGCGGCTCGAGCACAGGGCGCTCGAATATCCTCGGGGGACTGTTGCTGCTTCCGAAACAAAACCGTCTCGGGGTTTTCCCTGAAAAGCCGGTTCCAGCCCCGAAGGCACCCCGGGTGGAAGAGACCCGCCCTAATCCTTTTTACAGCCTTTGCCAGGGTGGGTGTAATGGCTTCATCGCGAAGAAATTCGCCCTTCTCTAGAACAGTTATCCGTGTTTGACCTGACCGGGAGTCGGTGCGTCCCCACCCCGAGACTGGGGTTCTCCGAAGGGTGCCCCTGGAGGAAGAAGAGGGGGGTTAGACAGGGCGAGGCCGCCGCGGTGGTAATCTGGGTCACGACTGCTCCAGCCCCGAGGACAAGCGGCTCTCCTGGCGACCCTGCACCATTCCCGGGAACTGGGATTCGGGCTCTCCCCCTCTCCCAGGAACACGACGTTGGTTGGGGGTTTGGAAGAGTGGGGGTGGGGTTAGAGAGGTTCAAAATAAGCTATTGGCAGGACTCTCCCTGCAGCGGACGGATTGCTGAGGGGCGTCTGCTCTAATTTGGGAGGAGGGGGTTGTGGGTTTGGGTGCCCATCGTTGGCCTCGGTCTAGAGAAAGGCGTTTTCCATTTGCAAAGTTTCCTAAATCCCCTGCTGTCGTTTGCACTCCCGAGGTTGCAATTTTGCAAAGGAGGGATTGAGGGTACTCGAGGTCTTATGCCCAGTAGCTGGGTTGGAGCCCTGGGCTTCCTTTGAGCAGCTGGACCTACGTGGTGCAACTGGGTTGTCGGGGAGCTGGAGAGAGCTAGGATTCTGCAGCCTGGAACAGCCCCCTCCCCCCAGGCACTGCCGAGTGTGAATGAAATGGCAGTTTCCAAAGTTGCAGAGCCACGCCACCACCCCCCCCATCTGCATGCCCCCCCCCCCCCCCTGTCGTAGACAGCTTGTACACAAAAGGAGGGAGGGAGAGAGCGAGAGCCAGAACTTCCTCCACCTTCGGGAGCACCAGGCGGAGTGGGGGGCTCGGAGGGGAGACGGAGGAGCCGGGTGAGAGAGGGCGCCCACTGCCCCCCCCCCATTCGGCCCCGCTTGCCAACCCTCTCCCGGTGTGTCTGTCGGTTGCAGTGTCGGAGATTGGCGCGGGCCCCCGCCCTCCGCGCCCCCCACGGGAAGGAAGCACCCCCCTAACTAAAAGGACCGAAGCGGAAAGAAGCCCTCATTCGCCGGCCAGGAGGCGAGCCGATGCCGAGCTGCACCACGTCCACCATGCCGGGGATGATCTGCAAGAACCCAGACCTAGAGTTTGACTCGCTGCAGCCCTGCTTCTACCCGGACGAAGATGACTTCTACTTCGGCGGCCCCGACTCGACCCCCCCGGGGGAGGACATCTGGAAGAAGTTCGAGCTGCTGCCCACGCCCCCGCTGTCGCCCAGCCGTGCCTTCCCGGAGCACAGCCCCGAGCCCCCGAACTGGGCCACGGAGATGCTGCTGCCCGAGGCCGACCTGTGGGGCAACCCGGCGGAGGAGGACGCTTTCGGCCTGGGGGGCCTGGGCGGCCTCACCCCCAACCCGGTCATCCTCCAGGACTGCATGTGGAGCGGCTTCTCGGCCCGCGAGAAGCTGGAGCGCGCCGTGAGCGAGAAGCTGCAGCACGGCCGCGGGCCGCCGGCCGCCGGGCCCGCAGCCCCGGCCCCGGGAGCGGGCGCCACCAGCCCTGCGGGCCGCGGGCACTGCGCGGCGGCGGGGGCGGGTCGCGCCGGGGCCGCCCTGCCCGCGGACCTCGCCCACCCGGCCGCCGAGTGCGTGGATCCCGCCGTCGTCTTCCCCTTCCCGGTGAACAAGCGCGAGCCCGCGCCCGCCACTCCGGCCGGTGCCCCGGTGGCGGGCGCTGCTGCGGTCGCCTCGGGGGCAAGTGCCGCAGCCTCGGCCGGCGCCCCCGCGATCGTCCCCCCGCGCCCCGGCGGCCGCCCGGCCAGTGGCGGTGACCACAAGGCTCTCAGCACCTCCGGAGAGGACACTCTGAGCGACTCAGGTAAAGACCGTCCCAGAGGCCGGCTGCCTCCCGGGAGCACTGGAGCCGGAGTCGCGCTCCCTTTGTTAGTCTTCGTGGGTTTGGCTTGGGGGGGGGGCGTATTTTAGAGGTAGTGTTGGTGGCAGAGGGCCAGGTTCTTCCAAGCCGAGCCCCGGGATGAGGAGGAGAGGGGGAGTGGAAGCTGCCAAGAGGGTGCTCCCCAAAGTCTCATCCTCACCGAAGTTCCTTCCACCCTCTCCTGGAGCCCCGACTGGATCCCTGGCCTTCACCCATTCCCCCTCCTCCGTTGCAGCCAGTCTAGGGATAAAATTAGGAAAAGTTGGGTAGCCAAAGCTGGGTGGGAGTGTAGAGGTGCGCTGGGTGCGTTTTCGGTGCAGAAACCTGTTAGCACGAGGGTGGAGAGGGACTGCCTCCCGGGTCAGGGGAGGGCAGGTGCGGGGAGAAGACATAGAGGCGGTGCAAAATCCTAGGTAGGGCGCAGGAAGGTAGAGGGAGGTTGCACAGATGGCTACTACCGGTTTTATTTATTTATTTTTTTCAAGCCTGGCTAGTCTTCCCCGCCCTCGGTGGGTGGTGGGCTGTTTGCTCCTGGTCCGTGGCCAGCAGGCGGCGATATACTGGCGGGCGGGCCGGCGGAAGATCTGAAAGGCTGGGGGGTGGTGGGGGCACCCCTCCCTCCCTCCATTCAGCAGCTGGTGGCAAGGACAACCGCGGTTGTGTCCATTCTCAAGGGGCTGCCTCTTTACACGGTGCAGTGCAAACTGGGTCCCGTTTTGTCTCTGGCGAGAATTCTGGGACTAATTTCAGATCGGAGTGACTTTGTGGCCCAGTGCCCTTCAAGGTGAGGGCGAGCACTTAAGCCCTCCAGGAATGTACACGCGTGCGGGAAGGCACCCACTGATTGCTTCTATTGTGTGCCGATGTCTGCCTTAAGCTGTAGGGTTGGGTTGAAACCCAGACTTTGCCTGGGACTCAGGAGGTAAAGCACTCTGTCCAAAACACTTGACTAGCCCTTGTCCTGGCCAGAGGGGGGGGGGGGGGTGGGGCCCACTGGATCTTGAAAACCCGGCGTCCTCAGAATGCAGGTGGATAAAAAGCCAACCGTGTCCCTGAGGGCCGAGGATGGATCCCACTAAGGCTTCTGGAAGGAAACTTGGTGATAAGACTCCAGTTTGAATCGGGTCTGTCCCTTTAATGTCTGTGCCTTGACAGCTCTCAGTGAGGAAGCACTTCCTTCCAACAGCTGTCTTCTTGGCAGAAAACCAAAACATTGGCTTAAAGGGACCCACAGACTGGAACAGCCTCACATTTCGGCTTTAGAACAAATCCCACAATTGTTCAGCTTTCCGGCCCCCTTCAGATCAAGCAGAAGATGTGTTTTGATTTTCATGCTTGCATTTTAAACAGTAATTTGCGATCCCAGCAAGGTAGTAGAGCAGGAGAGAGGGGAAATGCAGACGTGATGCTACATGTTTGTGTGTTGCTGTTATTGGCGGGGACTTTGGGGAGAGGGGCCCCCACTTTGGGGTTCAGAGTTCCTGTGGATTCCGACTTTGTAGTTCGGATTTGGTCTTTGTTAGATAAACACCTGCTTACTATACGGAACTCAGGTTTATTTTTCTGCCTCAGTTCATTAAATTGCCCTTTCAGTGTAAGGACTTAAAGTCAAACTCCACTATGTGTCAGTTGCTAAAAGAGAGGCTCCCGAGAAGGGGATCCTTGGGTCTTCAGTGTGGAGATAGAAATATGAGCGAGTCTTTGGGAAAAACCGATGATGATAAAAGCTTACCGTTTGCTGAGCATCGTCTGCTAAGCCCTGTTCTCTATGTATTACCTGTCCAACGCAACAGCCCTGTGGTATCATCCCCGTTGTAACTGAGACTTCAAAAGTTTAACTTGCCCAGGGCCCCCCAACTCATGTGCGTTGGAGTCAGATTCTGCCCGTCCCCGAAGCCCACGGAGTTTGTATTTTTGCCACCTGCTAAAGTCTGAGTGGAGGCTGAAGGGTCAAGTGTGGGCAAGGTGGAATTTCCAGATGTATTTCATTTCTCGAGGCGCTGGGTAGGACCCTGTCCACATCTGTGTGGGTGGGTCCCCCCGTGCCTGCAAGCTACGGGGCCAGTGCCTGCCGGGAGCGACCGAGCGTAGAGATCGGGGTGGTCCCTGTGTGTGTCTCACCAAGAGAATGACTCCCGCCTTGTTCTTAGATGACGAAGATGATGAAGAGGAGGACGAGGAGGAGGAGGAAATCGATGTGGTGACCGTGGAGAAGCGGCGGTCCTCCTCCAGCAGCAAGGCCGTCACCACCTTCACCATCACTGTGCGCCCCAAGAACGCAGCCCTGGGCCCGGGGAGGGCCCCGTCGGGTGAGCTGATCCTCAAGCGCTGCGTCCCCATCCACCAGCAGC